TATTTGTTCAGATGCACATCAGAGAACCATCAAGGGCTCTGGTCATTCCTGTGCAATTCAGCTCCCACATGGTGGATTATCCAAGGCAGTCCAGGTCTGACCCTCTTCCTTACCAACCAGTGCTGTCTGGCAAGGGAAGCGAAGTGCTAAGGTTGGGAGAAGCCAGAGGCTAATTCCTCTTCTTCCTAATTAACACACCCACCACAGATAAGTACCCAACAAGAAGACTCCCAGCCTGTCTACTGGCCTCCAGGAACAGCTCCATCCTGAGCACCCCCAGCTGCAAGCTGAGCTCAGCCCCCTCCCTAGACTGAAGCTTTGCACCTTTGTCTCCAAGTCCCATCTTCCCGTGGCAGGGAGCCCTCTCGGCAGCCAAAAGCGGAGCACGGCATGGGGCCAGGGATGGATTCCTGGGCAGCCTGAGAGGAGATGCAAATGGAGCAGGAGACTGCTCGAGAAGCAGAGACAGACAGATGCTTTTACACTTCAAAGGGAACAGGGCCCTGTGAGGCTTTCAGGAATACGCACAAATCGATAGACTCCTTTCAAACACCGAGCACATTTGCTCAAGTGTGAGGCAATTATTCCCTGAGGATGGAGGCAGGACAAGGCCATTAACAGCCATACCGGCCGGACCAGGACCATGCTGAGGCTCCAGGAGGAGCACCAGCCCAGCCTGCGAGGCAGAATACCGCTCTCCTGGCTGAGCTTTCTCATCCAGGATTTACAAAATGCCCTCGTGTCCCCAGGGGCTCTACAGGGAGCACATTAGTGTCACTCAGCCTATGTCAGTGCAATGCTCAGCACATCCTTTTGGTGAACAGCGGGTTTGATCACATCCCCTCCACTGCTCTAGTTCACTGCCTTTATCAGTCAGGTGGGCTGACTTTAGCTTACTGAAGCAATTTCCATTTCCCCCTCACCGAATGCTGCTGGGCAGAGCCTGAGCTGCTCTGGAGAGCTCTGTCTCCACTGAGCTCCTTCTAGATGGTGAAGCAGAGCCCAAACCAGATTGTGGGTGAGCAGAGGGCTGGCTGCTCAGCATGGGGACAGCAATCATGCCTGACTCATCCCTGGCTACTCCGCACCAGCTCTTCCACGCAGATCACCCTTAACACACCATCTCCCTGCAAGGACGTTATAGTTACAGAGACCAAAGGCGCCCCTCCTTCACGACCCCACAGATGGGAGCTGGAGTGACAGTGCCAGCACACAGGAAGTCTCTCCTGTGAACAGCTGCTGTTTTACATGTACAGTCATACTCGTACAACGAGAGGCAGAGATACTGAAAGTGAGCAGTGCTTTATGCCTGGTGCATGACTGATGGGAGTGCCCATCCTGTGCCCACTCTGCTTTATGGAGGCACGTCATTTACCCTCTTCAGTAAAAATAGAGGAGGAGGAAATAAAAATCTCAGCATGTCCCCAAAGAACTGTAGGAGATTAAAATTAAATCTATCCATTACACTCACCAAGCAGGGTGCTGTCTGGGCAGGAACACTGTAGTTGTACACCTGCATGTTCAAAGAAAAGAAATTGAGTATTAGGGAAGTGTCAGAAGCAATCCAGCACCCTACAGCAAAGTGCTTCAGGTCATAAAACAAACTCACACAAGTTGGAAAAACAAAAAAGGAATAACACTAAGCTGAACAGCAACACTGCTCAGCACAGCTGCAGCACCTCTTCTCAACCCTGCATCAAAGGTTTTCTTCACCCTCGGTTAAAATTTTGTCTGACACTTCTGCTCAGGCCCAGGTTTCAAGAATGCTTCTGGGTTTGTCCTGGGATGTGTGTGTTGTGTGCTGCGGGGGAGAAACACCTTCCCTACTCCCTTCACTGTGTCCTGTAAGCCTCTCCCTGCATTCCTCCTGTTGTACTGTCCAGAAAGCACATTTAGTTCTCACTCACTACAGCTCTGCAAGGCAGGACAGTAAAAAGCAGCTGACCTGGAGGAGCAGGGGCCAGGCCAGCAGCAGAGGGCTGGGAACAGAGCCCCAGAGACAGGAACAGGCCTCCCTCACAGCCACTGACACTGCGGCAAGGCCGTGGCTCTGAGAGCGGCTGTGCCCAGAGCAGCGGAGGGACACAGAACAGCCCACCCCTAGCAGGATCTGGAGAAGTGCCTCCATTCCCCAGCCAGCCCTGCAGAGTTTTATCCCTCTCTCTGGCCACTCAGTGAGGCCAAGGGCGGGCAGGTACAGGAAGCTGCATGGCGGGCAGCTCTGGCAGCAGGGATGTGGCTCAGAGCCACTCCGCCCGTGAGGCACTGCTCGTTGCTCCAGCCAAATGCTGCCTCCCCCCTGCTAAGAGGCTCTGCATGGATCCCACCCTAGGGCTTGGGAATTAAGTGGATTTTAAGCTCTGCAATAAAAACCCATTTGACTCGAAAGAATGTTATTATGCCTGAGAGGGAGTTTGCACTGCTTGCTTGGATCGCCTTAAAGTGAGCCGGTACGTGGGCAGACCAAGGAAATGCGCGTCGCAGTCTCCTGGGAGGCTCAAGGAGCACCACGGCAGACAGCGCATCCCGGCACTGGGGTCAGCCCAAAGCAAGCCAGGAGTCCTGCTCAGCCTGCCTGCCCAGCACCAGGTGTTCCAAGAGCCCCAGCCCAGCATGGAAATGCTGCTCCCCCGGTCTCCTCAGGCTCTCTGCAGACACGGAGCCGCCTCGGCCCGCTCGGAGCCCCGCGGGCCGGGCAGGCCCTGCCCTGCCCTGCCCCACACGCGTGAGGGCTCGCCGCGGGGCGGAGCTCGGCCAGTGGCACCGTCCCAGAGCCTGCTCTGCACCAGCCGCGCACATCCTTGTCCCTGCAGCAGCTGGAAATTAGAAAAGCTCTTAGTGAAACCAGCTGGAAGTTGTTTCTGCAGAGCCAGCGCAGGCCCAAGCGCAGAGGCCACAGCCTGCGGGCCTGGGCGGGCTCGCCGTGTCCCCACAGGGCTGCGGGCAGAGCTGGGAGCTTTCTGTGCCGCAGGGAAACTGCCGAGCCTGCAGCTGCCTGGGGAGGAACCGCAGCATCGGCAAGAAAGCATTTTTCTGCCATTCCCATCTGCATTGAAGCAGTGTCAGACAAGGTTTAAGGCTGCAAAAACCAGTAGGAGAAACCAAAATAAATAAAGATCTGGATTTTCCCATAGGAAATTTACCTAGATCCCATTTATAGTCCATTTGCCCTCCTCCTTATGTAACTTCTCTGCAGGAGAGGAGCAGAAAACACAAAGAAAATAAACAATTTGCTGCAAAGAATTGGTGCAAGAGCCTGAGTCACATCTAGCAGTGTGAGCAGGTAACCCGAGGCTCACTGAACACATGTGGAGAACAATGAAGCTGAAATCAACAGCGTGTCATGCATGTACAAACCGGCTCCAGGTAACATGACTAAAGCACAGCACGTTGTGCTCGAGAAAGATGCACAAAACCTACACTTTTGAGTTTATTTTATTAGTCTTAATGGCCTGACTTCCACATGTCTCATTTCCTTTTATTGAAGCTGTCAGAGGCATTACATTATCTCACATGCGTGCAAAACCAGCATTTCAGGCGAGCTCATATAGACTTGAAATGCCACAGCTGAAGAAAACAAGCCAGTGGGAAGTGCACAGGGAGGGGGCGGGAGCAGAGTCCAGAGCACACCTACAGGCAAAATCTCCCAAGGCTTCCCGAATAAGCCTAGCGCAGTCTCTAATCAGAGAGAAAGGATAGGTACTTCTCCGAGCTGGATGATTCACTGGAGAAGGGCGAGCAGTCCTGTTGCAACAGAAGGCTGATGAGTAATTGATGGCTCGTCCTAGGCACAAAGCCGAGTCTTTTACCCCGGTGCAGAAGCCGTCTGCCAAACCAGCTCTACCGACAGGCCCAGGGGGCAGCAGCACCTGCACTGCTACTGCAAAGGTTTGAAAGAAACAGCATTGCACTCGTATTTTCACAGGAATTCCCCAGTGCTGCCCAGCTGTCCTCAGTTACTCATGCTCACTGCAGCTTTTCATCCTCATTAGCGCTCCGTGACAGGGAAACACATCCCAGCTACAAAGATGAAGAAACAGATCCAACCAGGTAGCCTGTGGGGATGCATTCTCTCTCTCTCTCTTGTGGGCATGCTGCTGGCAGCGATCCCGTGCACAAAGTACCCCCCTCGGGTCCCTGCACATGGTGCCCAAGGCACTCACTCAACTCCCCAGCCATTCTGCTCCTCTCATTTCCAAGATGTGAAGGACAGTAGCAAAATTAACTACTAATGGCCAGCGACAGCCTTTTACAGCTGACCTGCCTTCACAGAGCTGGCATTTGGACAGCAGGAAATCATGATATTTTGGCATTAAAAAAGCCTGCGCCACATTTTGTTTCCCCAGTCAGATTTCTTTTTAAGTGAGTTGCTCACATCCACGTGTGTCATGCACAGCAGGTACAAATCACTGCTGGCCAGGGTGCCATCAAAGGGGAGGCTCACAGGGCGTTATGTACATGTACTGTGGCAAAGTCTGACCTTTATTTCAATGCTGCATATCCTCAAATCCTGGGAAGCCCAGGGGAAGTACTCAGCTGCTCTGTAAATATCATAATTGTGGTACAAAAGCAATTCGCAATATACAATTTAAATAAGAAAACAGCCATTGTAGCTGAGCCCACAAATTTACAGGGCTACTTTTCACAGTAATTTTAACAATAAAAACATGGCTCAGCATCTCTATGCTATGCAGATGCACAGTGAGGAACTGGTGCCCCAAAAACCTGGTGCACAGCCTTTCCCAGTGTCCCTGCACAGGGTCCTGAGGCACAAACCTGCACAGGTCTGCTCAGAGACAACATCTTGCCACACACACACACACACACACACACACACACACTCACACGTGTGCACACAGAAAACCATCTGGCACACAGGCTAAATGCCACACCTCAGTGCCTACTGATGGCTGCAGGCACACGGCAGCTATTAGTGTGACACGAAAACATTCCCTAAATAACAGCTAGGAGCATGTCTATCCTCCCTGAGAAGCAATGAGTCTGTGTCACCAAGTCCCCAGTGCCAGGGCCATCTGCACTTGGGCAAACAGGGAGGCCTCCCCCTTCTAACAGGAAGATGAAATGAATCCCTGCTTGCATGGCAGTGCCCAGGCTGCTCCTGCCCAGGATGGGACCACAGAGGAGGGAGGTGGAACCACTCTGATTACTAAACATGGGCAGATCCCTGCAGACTCCCAAACAGGTGAGATAACTTCACACACTCACAGAGCAGTGCAGGAGCCACAGCTATAAATGATATTCTCCAGGGGTGGCAGGGAGTGGGAAGAGTAAGTTCACAGTGGAAAATTTCCTTTCTCTCTAAAGGAAGAGGCTGGAGTGATACAGAGCACTGCTGTTCGTGGCCCTGCTTCTGACAACCTTGGAAAGCCCCAGAGGAACTCCCCACGTTCCATGAACGTCCCTCCACCTCCACAGAATGAAGAGCATTTCACTGACCTCAAATCTAGGGCTGGCAGAGGAGGGATGGGCATGGGGACAGGAGACACCACACACAGCCTTGCTGCTACTTCTCCTGCATAGAACAAACTCTCCCCTGCCTGCAGACTCTGCCAGCTCTGCCCCTGCTGTGCTCCAGACACACCTTGCTTGCTGTGCATTTTACTCTCATCTGCTGCTGGAAGAAAGGCGAGGCTCTAGCTTTACTTTGACTACACTAACTGAGGAAGCTGCTCAAAGTTCACCAGCATTGCTTGCTTTGCTCGCCTTTGCAATATTTTCTACAGCTTTTTGGCCACGTGGATGGCTTACTGGAAGTCCTCAGCCCCTATCTCCTTACACCAAGTCCCAGGAGGAAGGGATGTTGGAAACTGCCAAATACAAGGTGCCAGCACTGACTGCGAGTTCAGCAGCTCTTTAAATACTGTTCTTGCAGACCTGTGGTTTCCTACTCCTGCTGGGAAAAAAACACTGCAGAACACATTGAGCCTGATGCACAGTGACATGGCTGGGCAGCCACCAGTTCAACCACTGCTTGTGAAATATGGTGAGGATTGTGCAAGGAGACAAGGAAGTGAAGGTGTCCCATGCTACTGCTTGCAGCAATACCTCTGCCCAGTGTAGGCAAAGCTTCACAAGTTCAACAGTAAATTCAATCTCATTTACAATTTTCTTTCAGTTTTTTCACTGGGAAGGGTCCTCCCCATTCACCAGCAGGCGTAGGGGAACAGAGGGTATTGGCTCCACTCTGCCACGGTGCCGTGGGCATGTCCTGGAGTCCCCTGTGTGTTGTACTCCGTGGAGAAGGCCGAGTAGCTCATTGCCCTGTACTGGCTGTGGGAAGGCACCACCCACTGCCCCAGGCCCTGCTCGGTGCCATAGGGACTGTACACGGGCGCCCGGGCCCCGGCTTTCCCCACAGAGTCCAGAGCCATGTTCACCACTCCTGTGTAGTCCTGGGGAGGAGGCAGAGGTGGGGGCAGTGGGGGCAGGTTGGTGAAGCCCTCTGGGAGTTGTTTGGAGTCGTGCTCGGGCACCATGGCAAGATCCAAGGCGTGGCACCTTGCCCGGAAATCGTTCAAGGTCGCGGTGTCACGGCTGGGAAGCTGCTGGCTGTCCCCAGCTTCATGGAACCTGGGCCCAAGGGCAGAGAGAAGAACAAGTCACACCTACCACAGTGTAAAATTATGGAAAACCCACAAAAATCCCCTGGGGAAAAGCAGGGCAAGATCTTCCCCTTGCCTACTGCTTCATCTTACTGTTACTGTGGATTTTAGCCCAAGCCTCACCGTCACACTCACAGAAAAATGAAATGCCAGAGAAGGTGAATCCAGACTAACATAGTTCAGGCTAAGTTCTAGTCTGGACTCAACCCAATTTTGCAATGAGGAAGGAAAAATGACTGAAGTCTTGTAACTCCTCCAGCACTTACTCCAAAGGACAGGCAAGCTCTGTGGTACTCAGAGCTGGCTGGGAGACCAGTTTGGGACAGGAAAATAAAGAACATTACAAAGACATGAGCATGCCCATAACCAGTGGGTTTGAATTAGAAGAGAAAGGCTATCCTTGGACCTATGACCATGCTAATCTATCATTTCTCAACCACATGTGCTCTCCAACAGAAAGGCATCCTCCCCCTATTCCCAGCTGGCTGTTTTCCTGAGGGAATACCCAGCAGAAGAGGAATCCCACCAGCTGCAGTGTGGCTTTGGAGCAGCAGGCAGCACTCACCGGTATGTGTGGTAGGACGGCGTTGGCACCTGCTGCTCTCTGGCCAGAGCCTCTCTCTGCTCAGCAGGCACTGGCGAGGCCGCAGGGAAGGCCTGGCTGCTGCTCTGCTCCGAGCCCCAGAAGGGATAGCCACTGCTCACCACCACAGGGTTACTCTCTTCCTTCACGTCTACATTCTCATCCTTCTCAAAATCTGACTCAAAGCAGGGAAAAGAAAGAATGGGAAAGAATGAGAAAGGGGAAGAGGGAGGCAAAGCTCACAATGGTCTGTTGGCAGTTGCAATAATCACAGGATGGTGGAAGGAAACACACAGCCACCTCCTGCAGTCCTTCTGCCTTAAGGGAATAGCCCCTTCCAGCTCCTTTCTGCCCACATACTGTGGTGGTCAGCCCTGCCTGCCCTCTCTCCTTAGCTGTGCTACTGCATGCAGCACCATGAGCTGGAGCAAGGAATGATTTAGCTTAAAAAACTTTCTGAATATCATTCTCTGGGTTTGTTGTGATCAATATTACCACGTTCCTCAGCAGCAGGCTCCTTTTCCTCAGGCAGCTTCCTCTTCTGGCTCTTGGCTGGACTGGGCTTCTGGCATTTGGCTCGGCCTTCCCTGGAAAGAAACAAGATCGGGGGGGTAGCTTGGATGTAAGCTTTTTTCCTAGATATATAGGCAGGGATGCTATTAGGAGGAGAAAGAAAATCCATAACATTTTTAGAGTTTAAGTAAAAAAGAGTCAGTTTTGTCCTTTTTTCATCAGGATTTTTTTTTTCAGGAGATTTTTTTCAGGCATAAAATAACACTAAACAAAATCTCAGATATATTTGTAACATTTTTTGCTTGGAAAAAACCCTCAATTTTTTTCCTTCTCTATTGCCACTCTGGGGTTACAATTTAAGCTTTTTTTTTCAACTCATCTAGTGGCTGCCCTCAGACCAAGCAGAAGATCTCACTGGTATTGGATCCATCTTTCCTCTTGCAGAAAAAATCTCCCTCTGGAAGAGACACTTTTCCACCCACAGGAAAAGGAGACAAGGGAGCCTCCAAATGTCAGAATCAAGCTGATCTCCAAGAGACCAAATGGTCTGCTGTGGACTCCTGTTATCACTGCTATTCACATGTCAGACTCCAGTCTAGCTCCAACGTGCAAGGGAGTGCAGGTCTCAAATTTGTCACACCTCCCACATTTCTGTAGGAATTGTCACCTCCCACTCCCCAAGTCTCTTGAGAAGAGGCTGCACAGAGGGACATCACTCCTAGATACAGGGAAATGCAGTGTGCACAATGCAGCAGGCTCAGCAGAGCTGGCTGGTAGGGTTTTGTTCAAAGACCTTGAGTAAAATTTACAGCTAGAACTCCAGCTAGAAACTAGAAATTAAAATGAAAAAACAGTTTACCTTCTAGTGTTCTTCCCATGTTCACGGAAACCTTTAGCAAATGGATTGTTGTCAATCTTGAGCTTTGTAATCTTTAAATGAAAGGAACAAGACTCAGCATCACAGTGACTGTTCCAAGACCTTCACCTTTATCACAAGATATTTATCACAAGAGATAAACTGTGTGAGGGTTTTGGACATGGCCTTGCCACAGTATCTCAGCTCTCCCAGCAGCTCCCATCATGGATCAGGAACTGACCCACAGAGAGAAGTGACCCTGCCAGGGTCAGCAGGGATTTGGGTGGGATTCATCTGACTAGAGAAATATACAGGGTGAGGATCTGTATCTGGACCTGCAGCCATGCTTTTTACTGCATTTGGAGCTCTGTGTCACTGACAGTGCACTCAGGACCATCAAGGTGCATGACTCATCACAGAGGAAATGTTTTCCACAGGAACCACAATGTGCCTATTTCTTCCCACTCTTCACCACAGGTGCCCACGATGAGCAGACAGGAAGGAGCCACCTTCTTCTAACAGGAATTTCACAGAAGCAGAGCCTGCACACCATACCTGCTCGTTCTGGTAGGCAGTGACAGAGGTGAAGACAGTCTCAGGGAAGCTGAACACCTGGAAGATGCTCCAGCGGACGCTGAAGAGGTCATCAGCCTGCACGATGTGGAAGCGTGGCTTGTAACGGTGCATGGAGTGCAGGATGATCTGGGACACAAAAAGGACAAGGTTGCCATGTGCCACCACTGCCAGCACACTGCAGATCCCCTGTGCAGACTCCCAGGACACCCATTTCTAAGCAGGGACTCCTGCTGGGACTGGTGTCTCCAGCAAGCCCCTGTAGTGACAGCACAGACCAGTGCCTTCCCTGGCAGGGAGCTAAGGGAACACAAGGGCTGGGCTGAGGGAAGAAGAAAGGGCACTTGAATATATTTTAACTTCTACATCACCTACTTTCTCACAAATCCTGCTTATTTCCCACAAAGTTCATCTGCAGTGAATTCCAAGAGAGCACAGCACAACCTACATGCCCATGTTGATCCAGAGTGTTGTTAGTGAGCTTCAGTTTTTGGAAGGAAACAGGTTCTTTCATCCAGTGGCTGCCAGGAGCTGGGGAATCTGGGTGGACATAGGTGCGACAAGGGAGCTGTGGCTCTGCTTTTCCAGCAACTTCCCACTGATCTTTATTCCACTGTGAAGGGAAAGACAGAAATCTGGAGCTTAAAATAAAATGCTTGCAGTACAGAAAAGGCCCAGCAAGTTTGCTTCACTGTCCATTCAGTGCACTCCTCTAAAGCACAAGTAGCAGACTCTCTCTTATGAGCCATGATCATGTTACCAAATCAGCTCCAAGTTTAGGCCTCATTTTTTCTCCCTTTCTCCCTATGGCTGCCAGAAAAGTCTGACATTAATCATGATTAAAACTGTACTGCTTACAATGAAAATTAGTTACCTTTCCAGCTGCTCCCCAAGCAAAACTGACAAATAACTCCAGAGAGATATAAAATCCATCAATTACTTCTGAACTTTGTCCAAGGAGAATTTATTTATCAGTGTGACAAGTGAAGCACAAAGATTAATCTATTTCAAACAAAGATGAAAGGACAGCATAAATTCTATTATTTAAAGTACTTACCTTGTACCTGAAGTTATCCATTGGCACAAAATCTACCAGCATGAGGTACTTGGCATATGGGATTAAGCCAGAGACTTTGATTTTGCATTGAGGAAACATTCGTCTGAAGGAGAAATGAAAAACAGAGTATAATGGTTTCTCTGTACAGTGGCTGTTAATGATCAAGCAGCATGTCACATTTACTCACTACTGTGCAAAGCCCTGTGAGCAGTATTTCTCCAGCCAGCCACTGACCATTTGTCCATCTCACTGATGGATTGTTTAGTCCTGTGGGGTTAGATGGGATAGACACTAACAGGGCAGCAGTCACTGAGGGCCTGACACTGTTTCAGCTTTTGTTCTTCCAATTCCTCTAACACACCAGTGGGAAACTTGAAAGGAACTATTTGGAGGTTGTACGTAGTTCCTGGCCTGCTGCAGCTCTCACAGCCCTGGAGGATGGATTAAATCTGAGCGTGGGCAGAAGACGTGCTCTCATCTAAGAGCACACCCAGCTTTCTGTTCCCGTACTCCCTGCCACTACTTTTAACTTCTGACTCTGCAAAAAAGCTTTGACAGCTACCTCCCTACCCAAAGGGATTATTCCAGCTCACAGCAGCTTTGACACAATACTTTACAGCTTCACAATTCCATCTTCTTTCACTGCAAGCTCCACAATACATGACTCATTTATACTTCAGAGGAGTCTGCACACACAGATCTTTAAGATTCTGGGCCATATTCTTGTCTGCAAACACAGACTCAAACCCAAACATTTACTGCTCAACTGCTGCTGCCTGTGACCCAGGCAAAGGGAGCTCAGGGAACTTCCAGAGCAACCTCGAAGTGACAGGAAGAGCACCAGTGTTAAGTGGTGAGATAAGGGTACAGGAGTTTTCTCAGCACATCAGCCCCACAAGTAACCTTTTGCACTTCACAGTTTGGACTCCTATGACACCCTGAAAGTGCAATTCTTCTGCCAGAATCAGGAAGATCTGCATAAGTGGCTACAAAAGCAGTTTAAGGGCCACCATTCAAAAAATTATCACCTGGAGACTTTGCCAACAGCTCAGAGGGGTGTGGCGTGTGTGGTCAGCTGTCCTGTGCCCCTTACCTGCCAGATTTGGTGATGATCATCTCAGTTCCTATCTGGTGAAACTTCATCCAGAGCCCCATGTCCTCGAGGGTGACCACGATGGAGCTCTGTGGGAAGGGCTCCAGGCTGGGGGAAGGAAGGGCCTCACACGGCGCTTTCACGTCTGGAGGGAGAAATGAGACAGTGGCTGCAGACAGACAGGAAGGGAACTGACCCTGGTCTGGGCAGTCTGTGCCACTACAAACCTCCTAAAAACTGTTCATTTTCTTCAAAGGATTTTTGTTACTTAGTAGGCTCAGAGGTAGGGAGCCTTTTCCAACAGGTTTGGTTTTAGCTGGTGGGGCCTTTTGTAAGATCTGTGTGTTATACCAACTCAACCTAAATTCCACTGTTACAAAACCCATGCTGGCAGGTAGCCACAATCCACTGTGCTGGTATGATCAGGGTTACACAAAACACTTTATCAAGAGAATGCAGTGAAAGCTGAAAGGACTGGAAAGATTTTAAGTGCACCAGTGGCTAATAGGGGAAAATGACAAGTAGGTGGTAGCAGAGGTGAAAAATGCCCCCAGAAGACAAAGATGAGACAGACAGGAGCCTAAATGTAAGAGAAGGCAAGAAAAGGAGGTGACAGAGACAGACTAGGGACAAACTATATTCTGAAAAGAGAATGGCTGGTCTGAACTGGAAGTGGAGCTGGGGACCACTGAGGAGCCTGTGAGAGGCGTGGAAGGTGTATTTTCAGTAACACACCATGGCAGGGCTGCAATCTGCCTGCTTTTCCTCTTGGAGGCACAGGACCAGCTGTGGGCCTGGGGAAGAGGAAAGGGAAAGCATTCTGGAGGAACTGCCTCTGGTGTTGATGGTACCAATCACCTCTGCACAGCTATTTGGATTAAAAACTTCCTTAAAGCCCCCAGCAGGTGCTCTCAGCAATATTGCAAGATTGCTGCTGCCCTGCTGAAAAGCCCAGTTCCATTTTAGGTCAGAATGTGACCCAGTACAGTTCTGGCAGGCTGAGCTCAGAGCCAGCAGGGTTTAAGAACACTGCCCTGAGGAGGGGTGAGGAGCCTGCTCAGCAGGGCACCCACAGGAGCTGGGCTGTCCCCTCTGGGTGGTGCATTAGCAGCCAGGCACAGCTATTTGTTTAAAAGGTAGATTTTTCTGCCTCCCAGCCTGATCAGGTTTCATTCAGAGCATAGCAGAAAAAAAGGGAAATTTTACCTTGTTACAGCTTTCCTGAGTAATGTCTTCAAAAGAGAATTCACAAAAAGTAGACAACTATTTTCAGAGAAATTAGCTTTTTTCACAAAGGCACATCTTTCCACCAAAACAACCCAATACAACTCTAAGTGGTTCTTCCCTAAGGATTAAGAAGTATAAAACATTAAAATGTAATTTTGTCTGTTTGTAGAGGTCTTTAGGCATTTAAAAAATCCTCTACCCTTTTTTCTGCTTTGATCCAACATTAATGAACTGGCCAAGAAGTGACACCTAGTTTGCTCACCAAGATTAGCCTGTTAACATCTTCTTACGAAAGCTTCCCCCATATCCTCTTGCAAAGACATGAAAGCTGCCATGAGACATGCATTTGGTAGCTCAGTGCAGCACACGTATCAAAAGGAGTTACAATAAAATTGGGCTGATTTCCCACAGGAGCCATCCAGTCACAAATAAATGCAAACAGGTTTTGATTAGCTAGACAGATGCTCACTCCTTCCCCAAATGAATTTTCGAATTAACATTTCTTTAAGCAAATTCCAATGCCATTAAAAGAGACTACAAGAAGGCAGATCTCGGGAGTCTTTAGTGAGGGGAGATTTCCAATGAAGTCGAGAGGAACTGAAGTGAAAGGAGTTCAACACTGAATTAAAAATCAAAGGCAGATGTCATAATCTGGTTTTTACCACAATGAGTCCACAATGCACCTGTAGGAGCACAATGCTGTAGGAGACAGGGACAATAAATGCTGCAGCTAAGGTTTGAAAATGCAGTTAATGCCTTTCACCCTGCAGGTTTGTGTGCACAGGCTGAGCCTGAAAAGCAGGACATGATCAGTCTGCATGAGGACTGGAGGCCAGCAATGGTGTGAGCTGGGGAATGGATCCACTCAGCTGCTGTCAGCTTCAGCAGGACCCTGCACTGATGGATCTGTTTGTAGGATTCTGTTTGCTAATTTTGTTTGGATTTTTGTTTCCCTCCTAGTTTGTGCCTGTGTAACTGATGGCAAGGCTCATGCACTCACCCTCCCACAAAGATGCCTGAGTGCTGGAACTATGGCACAGAGAGGTTTGGGCAGAGTGTCCAAGCACTGAGTGGAACTTGTGTGAGCTGTACTTCTATGGTTTCATCTTCTGTGCAACTTGGTTTTCAAACCATTATTATCAGAAAGAGATTTAAACCTTTTCCAGCAGTTCTAGCTTTACTTTTTTAAAAATATTCCTGTTATCATTGTGTTGGTAACACCATACATGGCCTGTTCAAAAACATGTTCTTTATGTCCACGTGAAATTGAAAGGGAGGAAACTGCTATGGTAAAGGCACTGAAAATTAAGAAATCTTCAGTCTATTCTGTGCTTGATTTCAAGGTCCTTATAGCATAGGAGTAGCTTGTGCTACAGTTTCTGTATCTAGAATGAGCTGTACATATCTTTTTGTCATCTTGGGGACAGAAAGGAAAGAAGGAGAAATGTGAGACAATTTAGTAGTTTTAGGAGGAAGATCTCTGGATAGAAGATGCTGGAGTACAATTGCCTCACCTAAGCAGTTCCTCAATTCATTTTCCATTACTAAGACAATGTTAAAATATCTGAAAATTTTTTGCAGCCTTCCCAAAATGTGTAGGATAGGATTTGCAATACTGGGAAAACTCCAATAAGGGAAAGAGCTATGCTTATCTTGACTAAAATCAGTTATTATTACATTTGTCGCTATCTTCCAAGCGAAGCCCAACACTCCCAGCTATCCGGTCTCCACCAGGGAGGAACGCACATCAATATACAAAGCTTTCTAATAAATTCATCTTGCAAACAAGCAAAAAAACCCTCCCATGTTCTCTGATCTTCTCAATGTCAGCAGAAACACCCTGACCCTCTGGAGGGAGCCTCATTTCTCAGACCCAGAGTTTTTTGGCAATAACAAAAGTATAATGTTTTACAAATGCAACAGCTTCATCTCAGATGCATCACCTGGAACGTTTCTGCTGTAGGGGGTCATACACCAGAAGCAACCCAGTAAGAAAATCAGCTGAATACTGCAATATTTGGAATCTTTAACATGAAAAAAAAATAATACAGTCTACTTTTTTTTTTTTCATTGCTGTTCCTTTGTTTTTAATTTAAAATTCAAGTGGCAGAAATCAGTATGAATCAGATCAACACAGCTGGGAAAAAAACCAAAACAGCAGCAAAGGTGGAAATCATCTAAATCACTGCACGTGTATTTTGCCCATGGATGAGAGGAAGAGCAGAGGAAGAGCAAGGAAACTGAGACTGCACAGCACCTCTGATGTGCCTATAAACTGGGCCACGTTTTTTTTCTGATGTAGAGTGAAACCACAGAGTAAATTTAGGGTTCAGTTGCACTGACAAATACAGCACCTCTGGGCTAGCCCTCAGTGTGCCAAGGCATCTCTGTCCTCGTGCCCAATCCAATCATGCTCTACACAGGAGAGATTAACAGCTTGCTATGAGATGGGCTGAAGGAAAACATAATGAAACCCCAAGGAAATCACAGAAATCCTGTGCTGGGCGTGAACCTGGAAGGAGTTGGCTATGCCTGATTGGGGTTCACGATTTCAAAGAACATAGGAAATTGGAAAAAAACCCCAAAACCAGAGAGTTTGTATCAGAACTGTTATCAAAAATATAACGAGTATTTACAAACTTTCTGTGGCCTTCCACCTGAAGAACTCAGTGCTTTGCAGACAATACACAAACAACACCTCCAGCTTTCAGCTGAAGGGTCACACCGCACAAGGCGATGTGGGTAAGGGAATTTTGGGCACAATTGTGAGCAAACCTTTACAAAAGAACTTCTAAGGCTCTCAAAAAACCACTCAAATGCACAATTTTTCATCTACTCCCATGAAAAAAACCCAGTTTTTAAATCCTCTCTAGCTCCATGCCCTCTTCTAAAATGCTGGTAAGCCCTTCAGGAGCGCTTGCTCCCTTTCTGGCACGGGTCTAGGATCTTTCCGTGCAGTGACAAAGGGAAGGAGTCTTTCACTTACCTGGTAAAGCTTGCATTTTTCCATGTACTGTGACGTCGAGGAGCTTGCAGGGCCAAGAGAGCCACCAGAGTTCTTACAAGGGGAGCCAAAATAGTCCAGTTCAAAAGCAGGTCTGATTTCCTGAAGCAAGCACAAGCCCTTCCTTCCGAGATCCAGTGTCAAGAGTGAGCGGGATGAGGATGGGACTCCAAGCACAGCTAGCCAAGGTGAGTTCCTGTTTTATGGAGGCTAATGAGCAGGGAGGAGCTTCCCGCCAGGGTTGTCCCCTTGCGAGCCTTTGATGTCCAAAGGGACAAAGAGAGGAAGGATCTGCAGCAATGGCTGGGGCTAGGGGAAGAAAATCAAAGAGAATTAACATGGCTTTGACATACAGGAAACCCTACAGGGGAAATGCACCTTGATTTACTGCTAACGCACTTTTAAACAAATAGAGACAAGACTGAAAACATCAGTTGAGGACTTAGCTACAAAATAAAAACAAATCCCTTAAACAGCAAGCAGGGATTTCTCTTTGGCTATTCCATGGGTTTGTGATGATTCTCATCTTCAGTACACAGAATCATTTTACTCTTGATATCTGGTATCAGAATCAGGACGGCATCCAGCTCCTTCCTTCCCAAGTGGGTGATTAACAGTCTGTGGAAAGTTTGCTCTCCCAACTGCAGCAACACATCCCTTCACCCACTGATGCCTTCTCCAACAACATGAGTGTGAATAATAATGAACACATTTGATGTCATTCATCTGCCCAGTTTCTGCATTCCCAGCCTTGAGCTGCGCTTTCTTTCCGGGCGGATCAGGCACTGGGGTTATGCCTTGCTCAAGGCACTGCTCTTACCCAGGGAAGGCTGAGCAGAAATCGAAGGGCTTGAGCATTTTCCCTTAATTAGTTTATTCTGCAAGTGTGACCATTAGCTTTTGTGCTTATAAGTGCTTACAAGTGCTAAGAGACAGCAATCAAGGCTCAAGCTCCAGGGCCCAAGACAGCCACTGCACCTCCCGAGGAAGGGGGTTCTGTGCACGCACACACACAAATGGCTGTACTAACATTTACAGGACCAAAACGCTCAGAAAGTGGAGGTCAAAAGCACAATATCAGTCTGAACAGGCCAGGGCTGGATCCTGCACAGCAAATTTAGGAGCTTTGTTTATTACAAAGAACTTGCTACAAGGCTGCACCTCTTTCACTGTCTAGATTTATTCCAAATAAAATAAACGTTTTTTTCTGTTTTATCAGTGGTGTTACTGGGACATTTGATCTTTAGTCTGACGTACAAAACAAATTTTGAATTTATTTAGTGAGTTTCTACACCCAAACAACAAGCCTTCAGTTCTGTTTTTACTGCCTTTTGGAGCAGGCAATGCAAGGACATGCAGAGAGGACAAAGGAACTTAATCAGAGCAGGGACTGACTCTTTTCCAGTAGTATATTGAATTTTAGGCACCCCAGGGAAAGAAAAACCATTGCTTAGTGTGGCAAGGAAGAATGTTTTAAAGAAAAGGGTTGGAGAGTTGGGGAAGTCCTGAGGAGGATTTTAGAGCAGGAGATGGTCCACGGGCTCCTGGCACCTCTGCAGAACCACATCCAGCCTTGCTGGCACCCCTTTTAAACCACTGGCTAACACAGGCTTTCCTCCCTCAGGTGACTTGGAGACATCCAGAGCTGTGGAGTCTCAGCATATTGAGGAGAGGAATAGCATGTGGTGGAGAAATGTCAACTTGTGGCTCAAATGGAAATTATTCATTAAATATGGGGAGAAATAAATCAGAAGGGAAAAGGTCAGCTGAAATGGTATCAGGGTCAGATCTCTGCTTGGGCTTGCACAGCCACTACCAGACACAAAATAGGATGCAGAAACGCTTTTTTGCTCTGCTACAGAAGGAAAGCCAGCATCGCATCTGCTTCCCCCTCCATGTCCTGCTTTCCTAATGCTAGTATTTTAATTGTAGAAAGCGGAAAAAGACAACCATAATCAGAATCTGAAAAGGAAAAATAGAACAAAAATTGGGTCAGATTCAAGCTAGCAGCGAGATGAATCAACATCCCACACAGTCAGAAACTGCACAACAGCAGCAGCAGCTCTGGGAATTTCAGACTTCACCTGACAGGAGCGTGGGATGTGTATCATGACTTACTGCTGCTTCCACAAAGGCTAGGAGATGGTCTCCTGCTGCCACTTCATTTGCACACTGTGTATCAGCATGTCTGGGGAACAGCACATTTGCTCCAAGTACTCAAATCCTTTTGGCTTCTCCCAGCTGATTGATGGGGAAGGTGGAGCCATTAATTACCCATGACTAGTTAACAATCAGCTTTCTCCCAGCCATTCTAGTTGCACTGGGAACGTTTTAAAAGTGAAAAAAAGTGAATTTGTTACTATTGCTGGAAATCGTGCCTAATAGGAGCAATCCCCAGGAAAGTCATCGCTAGCAAAGGGGGAATTTAGCACATTACCCTCATCTGTCCATCCATGGAGAGCCCTCAGGCAGTCTGATGGGAAGAGGTGACTGTGCTGGTGTCTAACAATCCACTGGCAAATTGGAGGCTGAGGGTATGGAAAGGGATGGGAGAGAGAGTGGATCTGACACGTGTAAGGCAGTGACACACAGGGCTCTGCTCTGAGCCCATTTCTGCAGCAGGGATGAATCCTGCTGAGCCCAGCTCTAACAGCAGGCTCTGCCCTATGCTGAAGGGATCAGCTAGGGCAGGAGGGAGGGCATGTGTGATGACAAAAGCACAGGCCAAGAGCTTTTGCTTTGCATCTCTTTGAGAAGCTGATTAGAAAGAAACATTCCCCTCTGGGTTTTGTAGTAAGGCAAATGTTTTCTGGCATTTCTCCCACCTTCAGTGAAGGTTTAACCCTTACTGCTCAGTAGGACCCTGCAGAGAGCTGGTTTGTACACAAGCTCTCCAGCACAGTGATATCTTGCCATCTCTGGCTGCTGCCTGGGGCTCCTAGGCTGCTGGAGAACAGAAAAGGTGTCAGGCTTTGGCTAATGGGGCTGGAGTGGCACTGCCACCTCTGCCCAGGCAGAGTTCCCAGGGGAGCATTCTGCCCAGAGAGCAAGCTCCAGTGTGGGGCACCAAGTCACTGCCTGGGAGACAGCTGAATTGTAAAAGCCATCTTCCAAAAGAACCTGCCTTGGGTTATTGCTCGTGGGTGCAGTGGGCAGTACCAACCCTCAGGTTTCTCTCTGTGAGGAAGGGTTACCATGTCAGCTTTAACAAACTGGGCTAGAGCGAGGTGCCTTGTCTGCCTGGACCCGCACAAGCCGGGAAGGACAACATGGAGCTGTACAAGCTGCATCTAAGAGATCCTCCCCTCTGAAAGGTGAGGAAAGCCTTTCTGCCGTTTAAATGGGACTCATTTAGCCCATTCCCACCTGGCACACAGAGGCCACGGTCCCAGAGCATCTCGGCGACTCTGTGAAGGATCCTGTGCCATCTGCACGGAATGAGCACTGCAAAGTGAAAAGAGAGGCCACGGTCCCAGAGCATCGCGGCGACTCTTTGTGAAGGATCCTGTGCCATCTGCACGGAATGAGCACTGCAAAGTGAAAAGACAGCATGTCATCAACAGGGCCCAAAATAAAACAGATAGCTCTACGCTGATACCTACTAACTTTCATGCTTCATTAAAAACATGAAGTGGTCTCAGATTCTCCAGAATCCACAAAACTGGCTCCTTAAATCCAGGCTCAGCTCACTGTGAAGCAAATGCAACCTGATTTATACACACGGGGCCATGGGGAAAAGCTGAGTTTTTCCAGAAAAAAAGCCTGATGAAACTCTTGCTCCTACAGCTGTGCCAGCATGTGACTCCCTGTCCCTGTTAGTGCCCGACACCTCACCCAGAAAATAGGAAATGCAAGTGCAGGGCTGGCCAGGACAGAGCTGCTGAGCTCCAGCAGCGCAGGCACAGCCTGAACTTGGGCAGCTTTCTGAGCAAGTCTCTGTGGGCGGCTGCAGGAATGGTAAAAGCCTGCAGAGTGTTTTGAAAGCCTCCAAGAAGTGGTACATATCTCCTATCATGCTGCAGCACAAGAAACAGCTCCAACCCAGCTCCTTACAGCAGCTCGCACAACACAGCATTTTCTTCTGATGCAGGGAAATAGCACTTTCCCCCTCCTTTTTATGGTTTTGATTAGCTTTTCTCAGGAAAAAAATTATCTGGTGTTTTCACGTATATTACAAGTGCCATGAAGACCTTGCTACCCTGGAACCAATGCAAGGGACCCCACAGAAGGCAGAGCTCTGTAGGGCTGCAAACCCCACACGGAGCCCCACATTGCACCACCCCCAGATTTTCCCCGTGCTCTCAAGAGTGCAAAAATGACATTTGGCAAAGCAGAGCAGCTGTTCGGAGAGGGCCTGTTGGTAACAGCTCCACGCTAATTCACCACAGGCTCCCCGGACAGAGAGCTGTGGGGACGGGTCACAGGCCACAGGGCAGCTGTGAAGGATCTGCTCCGCAGGGGAACCTGGGAAAGCAGCTCAGGTAGGCAAAAAACTTGTACGTTATAAACTGAAGAGAAGACTTTTCCTTTTGCAGTTTGTGGATTGAGGTTATCAGGCCGCAGAGCTGAAGAGGGCACTCCCCGGGCTGCCTCCCTCACAGCCCCAGGCCGCTGCCAGCGCTTCCTCAGCGCGGCACAAGGGAAACACTTATCGGCCACTTAGCACTGCGGCCTGGGCTTGGCCTCAAAGGCAGCAGTCCAGAGTCAAATGCAAAATATGTCTGTCTAGAGCCCTTTCAAGTCCTCACAGAGCCCTCAGGTCGGGTGCAGTGTTTTCCTGTCAGCCCATTGTGTGTCCCAGACAGAGCTCAGCGCTCTGTCCCGCTCAAATCCACAAAAAGAACCGCCGAAAGGAGCTGCAGCACCGGGGGAGCTCAGCGGGCAGCTCAGCATGGGCAACGGGCACACGGGCAAGCACTGCCCTCCCGGCCCCGCATCCTTCCTTGCACGCCCGCACTCCCGGCCCCGCATCCTTCCTTGCACGCCCGCACTCCCGGCCCCGCATCCTTCCTTGCACGCCCGCACTCCCGGCCCCGCATCCTTCCTTGCACGCCCGCACTCCCGGCCCCGCATCCTTCCTTGCACGCCCGCACTCCCGGCCCCGCATCCTTCCTTGCACGCCCGCACTCCCG